TTTTTGTAAGCGTTAAACTTCCTGATTTTTAAAAGACGATATCTCTGCTTACATTGAACTTTCAGCGCTGCAACTTTGCAGAAAATGTTCATGTACCAGCAGCAACATTACACACTATTTAAAATGAAAAAAGTGAAATCGCTATCAACCACCCTTTAAAGGCACCTTTAAAGCCCCATTATGTTATTTTTGAAATTTTGCTCTCACAGTCCCCCTACAGTTGGGGAAACAGTATTGTCTTCTACTCCTTTCGTAAAATCTTTCATGGTTACACTAGGGAATACAGTGTGCATTTGTTGACAAGCGATACCCACGAACTCTGCAGAAGGAAGTAGTTCTCACATCTTGGGCAGACCAGTGTTGCGTGTGAAATGTCTTCATCCAACGTACATTGGCATATATTTCAGCAGTGTTGTAGTCAAGACCACCTCACTCGAGTCCGAGTCGAGACCGAGACCAGAGAGAGTCGAGTCCGAGTCAAGACCGAGTCCAAGTCGAGTCCAAGACCAGAGACGGTCGAGTCCGAGTCGAGACCGAGACCAGTGAGGGTTGATTACTTAATTTACTTTTATTTACTTAGAGAAATCCTTTTTTTATTTTACTGAATTTACTTAGAGTTTAAAAAATATGATCAGTTTAGGGTAAAAAGGCCACATAGTAGGTGGTGTTAAAAGTAATTTTATTACAATTTGTCATGCGCAGTTGCGCACTAGAAAATCACCAATCACTGGGCGTGTCAATCAATTTAAAGAAATATTTTATTAACATACATTAATAATCATGAAAAATATTTTGAATTGAACTCGAGTGGACTCGGAAATAAGTCCGAGTCCTAAAAAAAAAAAATGTTCGAGTACGAGTCAATTTCGAGTCCAAATGCACACGAGTCCATGACAAGACCAAGACCATTAAAATATGGTCTCGAGACCGAGTCCGAGACGAGTCCGAGTCTCAAGTACTACAACACTGTATTTCAGCATGTCATGAATATAGTTTCATCGGCTTTATTTTTTTTAAACGTCAAAAGATCGCGTAGCTCACGTTTACAAGCCAGCGTCTTAATAGTAACGTTAGCCGTAACGTTAGTAACGTAATTGGCTACTGTTTTACATATTATAATATTGACGATATGGCTATTATCTACCAAAAAACACTGAATTAAATGAGCATATTTAATATCAAGCTACCACAGATGAATCTGCAAATTTAAAAAATCAATTTGCATTATAGCCTGAGGCAAGACACTTTCACCATAAAAATAAATAACAAACATGACTATCAGCCTGCAGACATAGGATAGTTATCCTGACCGATTATTTTGTTCGTCTAATCATGTTAAAAGAAAGCACTGCAGTCTACATTACCAACAGTAAACTGATCACGCGCACGCTCTGTTTCTGACACGCATGCATGAAACATTTGAATTGTTTATTAATAAACTAGTGTTTTCTGTCAGTGTCAGCAGCAAAGATAAAGTTGATGCTGACTCGCCATCTTCGCAGTGAACGTGCATAGGCCTATAGAGAGAAATGCATACTTCGAATTAGCCTACATATGTACATATAGTAAGCCTACATATACATATAGTTGCCAATATATTTTCGTTTTTAATTGTTTTGTTCAAAAGTAGACATTTAAAGCTTTCTGTAGTTCTCAGGTCTATGAGGCAAGCATCGCGGTGGTTCATATATGAGACGCATTCCGGTTCACGCGCGCGCCTCTGTGTCCTGATTATATTGTCTGATATTTGCTTCTAATGTATTAATCCAGTCAATTTGTTGATGAAACATTTATTAAAATGAAGATACAATTTATACAAAACGAAATTTACAAGCTTTCTATAAAACAAAACTTAATAAGTGGTCAAAATCATGTCTGACCCACTCCAAATATTTTCCGATATATTGGGCTCGTTGGGCTCTTGCGAAAGGCTTTCTAAAGGAAGTGGGGGAAGTGACGTATGCCGTAAATCAGTCAATTTTTGGGTTCCTAGCCGCACCTCGAAGTTACAGAGTGCCAGTAAAGGTGATACAGACACTGTCAGGCTATGGCAGACCTGTCATGTTGTAAGTCGATAGGTTTCTCAAGGGTTTGGAAAAATATTATAAAGGTTGAAAAAGTTACAGAGTGCTGCTTTAAAATGTGTTTATTTAAAAAAAACTATAGAATAAATCATTCTGGATTGTTGGTGCCTGGCATACTGATTGATTTGGTCCTTTTCGTAGTTTATCTAAATCCGTGTGTGTTCCTGCAGGACCCGTGTTTCAGTGCTTTGCTGCAGTACTCGCATGATAACCGAGCGTTCGTGGGCTGCGACCCTCCAGTGAGTCTACGGGCCTCTTCAAGGTTTGCTCGTTTGGTTTTTGTCTCATTCTGTTTCTATAGGTGAGGAATAAATATATTCATCACTTAATGCTGTTAATGTTTTTACAGGATTCTCCCCGAAGAAACCTAGACATCACTTTGGCCTGAACTTGGACCAGTGTTGGATAATTTTTCCACAATTGTTTTGTATTAAATAAATAATGCTTATTAACATCTAAATCCCTTTCTGAAACACCTCACTAGATCTGCATGATCGGAAGAATTGAAACGCGTCTTCCTAGTTCCCAGAACAAGTAGTTCTGACTCAAACTTCCTGAGATTTGAATGGGGCAGTGTTGAGGCACTGCACTGTGAGAGCCAGTGTTGATTTTTGTTATGTTCCTTGAAATGTGTTTATTAAAATCATTTCAGCAAGTATTGGTTTGAAGTGTTCATCATTTGAGAATATCTTCTGTTTAGTTGTCTGACAAAGTATTGGTGGCCTGAACTTTATTGCCTGACCATCATCATCATTAACTTTTTTTAATATTATGAGCATGTGTGGTGTATGCGGTATTCTGTAATGCTTAACAAATTTGAATATACAGATGTGCTCAAGGTTATCAGAGATTGATGGCACAGACTTTAGAAACATTTTCCAATTTATCAATCTGACATGCTTATTCTTGCGGCATCTCGTAAACATGTCTTGGTTTTCCTGATAACTCATGCACTCTAATGTTACTCATGAGAATTGCCAGTCATATGCAACCAATCAAATTGGAGCTTGACATTACCCAGTGAATGCATTTGGGAAGTGTTTCTCATCAAATGTTGTACTTACTCAGTATGTCATTTTTTTACAGCGCAAGTGCAGCAGGCATAATTAAAGCTGTTTTGGGTCGTAATATAGCAGCACTGAATCTAGCTTTACAAGGGTTAGCTTGATGCAGATCTATTGCTTGAGAGAGAGTACTGAACCCTTTTAAAGCAGGGTTCCCCAAACTCAGTCCTTGAGGACCACCGTCCCTGCAGAGTTTAGCTCCAACCCTGATCAAACACACTTACCTGTGAGTTTCTACTGATCCTAAAGACCTTGATTAGCTCAGGTTAGAGCTAAACTCTACAGGGACAGTAGTCCTCCAGGACCGAGTTTGGGGAACCCTGCTTTAAAGTGCCGGGAGTTTTCATGATTTCTATTTAGCCTCGGAAATATGCTTCTATGTATGTTCACAGACATCATATAAGGCCCAAAAATCATACTTACTGTTTCTATAAATGGTCAATGACTTAATACAGCAATCAATAAATAGTTACACATTAACGCTCTCAGACCCTCATCCAGTGGGCATGATTTTTTCCTGTAGCTTTTCATGGTTTCTGTCATGTGATACCATCCAGATTTCAGAATATTATTAGACCTTTCAAATCTTCAATTGAAATAAAGTATGGTGGTCCGTTCAACTCGATTACAAATGCTTCTAGAAAAAAAATATATGTGGAATTTAAGAATTTTCATCTGGCTATATGTACCATAAATATATATATATATATATATATATATATATGAAGAGTTCAGATGCAAAAGCCTCTAAATGCCAAATGAAATTTTCTTCTTTAATGATGATTTTTTATCAAACTTGTATATTTAAGTTCAGTAATTTCACTTAAATAACAATTAATAGGTAATCTTCATTGCCATTTAAGTGAAATCACTGAACTTAAATATACAAGCTTGATAAAAATGATCATTCTAGAAGAAAATTTCAAATGGCACTTAGAGGCTTTTGCATCTGAACTCTTCATATATATGACCACTATTAAATTATGATTCTTGAAGTCTGAAACGGCTCATTCCATAATTACTTGGTATTTACCAGTTTATTTTTTTTATTAGTGATTTTTGCAAGGAATTGGCTTTATGCACAGCTGCACTACTTCCTGAACTTCAGCCAGCTCCTTGTTTCCTTATGCCATTGTTGGACAAACTTGATTAATTCAGGTGTGCCTGGTTATTGTTGTTGTGACTACTGAGGTCAGACACACTTGGATTAATCAGTTTGTCAATAATGGCAGACAGGAGACAAGGAGCTGGCTGAAGTTCAGGAAGTAGTGGAACTGTGTATGAAGCCAATTGAAATGAATTTTTCAGTCACCTAATGCCACGCATGCATATTTCATGGATGAAAGTTCTTATGGACCTGCGTGAGAAAACAAGACAGTAGGGAATGAATTTCTTCAATCATTGAAGGCTAAAGAGACCATTGAGCCTGAACACCTTTTACAAAGCGAAAGCCAATACAAAATAACCCCTATTAAGTCCCACCATATTGGCTTATGGATATCTGAATAGCCTTCGGATACATCTATTAAATAATAGCTCATCATAAACTACCAAAATTATATTGTTTAATGCAAATACGAGCTCTGGAGTGGGTTTGTAAAGTTCATGTGTACCATTCAATATGACATCCTGTTATTCAAATAAGCCCACTATGCTTTTTGGTGTCAGTGATCTCTTGATTTAGGATAAAGGTGAACTTTTTTGGTTCATAGACTTACAATATGGATTTGGTGGGGTCAGTGTTACCCTGAAATCTGGGAATCAAAACCAACGTCATTCAATGATCATTACTTTTCCCAGCCGATGATCATAAGTACGGTAGATCAAAAATGAAATGTACGGTATTTATGCATGTCACGTGTATATAGCCAACACTGCTTGTTGACTCACATTTATTTATATAGTACTTTGTACAATACAGATGGCTTCGGGACATCTTTACAGTCATACACAGGGAAAAACAGCATCAAAACAAGTCGTATCAAATCATCAATGTTGCAAAATTCTTCAGTGAGGAGACCATGAATCCACTTCTAATAACTAAAAATCACCTCTAGAGAAGAAAATATAGCGTTATCATTATTCAGCTCAATTACATTCTCATTCGATAGTTACAAAAAACAGTGTGAACTTTTAAGCCAACGCATCGGTTACACAATCCCCGTGCGCAAGCAAGTGTTTTTATCTGGGATTTTCAGTCAGTCACTCAAAGTCTCATCGCAAGTATAGCTCAGTTCACCACGTCTTTCATTAATTAAACTGAATGCTTAAACTAACATGGAGGAAGATCTAATATTTAGCAACCCTCTTGTACAATGGAAGTATTTACAATTAACATGATTTACAACTGCCAGTCCCACCATAAACAAAAGCAAAGTTATTCATTTTCCGAATTAATATTTTGACTTGTCCTGCACAATCAAGCACAATCTTCACACACACACACAGTACATTGTACGGTTCTTTGAAACTCTCCGAGGCATAAAACACTCAGGATTTCTCCTTCGCGTGCCATCTCAGGTGTCTCTTTAAGTGTGCGGACAGGATGAATCTCTGACCGCAACGCTCACATTTAAAGGGCATCTCCCCAGCATGATAGAGCACAGGAGTTTTGAAATTGCACACTTGTGCAATTTTCTTGTCACTTTGAGGATTCCGGCTCGATTTCTCGCCCACGTGAATTTTCATGTGACTTGTGAGGTTGCCTTGGTGTCTGAAGTTATTCCCACACTGATGGCACGTGAAAGGCCTCTCTCCGAAATGACATATGATGTGTTTCTTCAGGTCCCCCTTGCGTGTGAAGCTCTTCTCGCACTGAGTGCATGTGAAAGGCTTGTCTCCGTTGTGAATTAACACGTGGTTCTGGAGGTTGATTTTCTGCGTGTAACTCTTCCCACACTGAAGGCACGTGTACGGCCTCTCGCTATGGATTGTCATGTGATCCTTAAGGTCTTCTTTACATTTGTAACTATTTCCACAATGTGGGCATCCAAACGATTTTTTGGCCCCTGGACTTTGTGAGTTTTCTCCTGACGTGAAGCTCTGAGGATCCTGATGTTTCTCCACTTCATTCTGGTCTTGACTTCCCTCTTCCACTTCAATCAGGTCTAAAACGAACAAGTCGGTGATAATCAATTTAAGAGCGACAATGGTGAAAGATAAAATGAACCTCATTTGAAGTGCAGATAAAAAGATTAATTATTTTACTATGATTATTGATGTGATAAAATGTCATGGTAAACAAATACACACAACATTATCATGATCATTTATATATTTGTTTCTATTGATGAGGATCAGATACCAACCTTTCTGTTCCTCGGTTTCGTGTTCTTCTTTGACTCTGAATGGTTCTAGATCAGACAGATCCACAATCTCCACTTTAATGTACTCCATCGTCACGCAGATCTTGATCGACAAACCTCTGGCTTTTCTTGCTTGTTTGGAAACGGGTCAGCGATTACGATTGAGGCGAGGATGAAGATGAAATCGAAAGGAAAAAGAAGCAACACAGTATTCTGTTACGAGTGCTCTTAGGAATATAACACAAACATTACGGTTTGTGGTAAAAGGAAAAGACTTTATCGACACGTCATATTACATGCAATGAATGTAAATAAATACAATAATTAATAACCAACATAAATTTCAACAGTGTATGAAACAAAACAGTTGTAGTAATATGTCCAAGTTGCTGAAGCAAAATGTGTCAATCATTTTGAACGTTTTGTATGGTTTTATATAGCTGAAAACACAAACCTTTTATCCAGCGGACATTAGAGAAGACGCGGGCGCAGTGCTTATGACGTCACGCGAAGAAGACCCACGCAAAATAAAATCAAAATAAAAGTCTCCAGTATATTTCCTGCACCAGTGCTTAACTGAAATTAATTATTTAAATTGATATAGAAAAAATACGAATCATTACATTACTTTTTTTTGCGTTAATTTAACCACAGCTCTGACAGAATTCCTGCAAAACTATGTTTTTTTTTATAAACAACTTCTCCCCACATAGTTATCATTTGTCACAGCAAGGATATGCTGTATTGGGCAAAAAATTAGATTATTTTGGTTGGCCAATTGTTCATTTTTTATTTTTGGTCAATTGTTTAATTTTTTTATTTAAAAAATAAAAAATGGAATGCACTGCAATAATATGATTTCACTTTTGGAGCCATTTCCGCCTCCTTTTTTAAATGTATTATTATTATTATTATTATTATTATTATCCTTCAACAACACAAACACACAAACAAACAAGGTACAATAATAACTCTCTGGATAAAACCTCAATTTTCCTTAGGTTGAGCATAGCTAGTACAAAGAACTGAAAACACACTATATAACAAACAATATTTAAGTAAAAAGAAATTTAAAAAAATTAAATTAAAAATAAATAATACATCAATAAAAAAATGACTTTTTAAATTAATGTAAACGTATCAAAAAGAGAAATCAATTTAAGGGCTTTCTGATTTTTAACTAATTTTAAAGATTTTCAAAAGAGTTTAACCATTCATCCAGTGATTAAAGTTGGGTTTAAATTTAAATGAATGAATGAAAAACTTTCCAAAACATAACAAGAAGTTAATAACAAAATTACAATCTTTGTTTTCCAGACAATCACCAAACCCAGAGCCGTTAAATATGACCAACCCAGATGGCTCTGACCAAACCTAATCAATGTCACCGTGAGAGGAGGACAGCTTTGCATCGTGAAGCTTCGAATCTTTTGCGAATCATTTGTTTCGAACCAATGAATCGGAGCGCGTATCAAACTGCACAAACTCACGTTTCGGAATGTCAACGGTGCACTTTTGTGGGAATAAGGATGAAACACTGATCCGTTTATTTTTCCAGTGTGAAAAAACTCAAATCATTTGGAATAGTTTATATCTTCATAGGTAAGCACCTTGAATTACATTGTTATTATGTATTTATTTATTTATTTTTCTTTTTTTCTTCACAAGGAAAACTTCTCTAATTCGCAGCCTAATTTAACACATTTCTTAATTGAAATTAATGCATTTTTCAAACCTCTTGGGTTAATTAAAAACAAGAAAAGTGACAGATTCCTGAAATATTCTGTTGTTTGTTTGTTTGTTTTGTAATGCCACTGATACATCATTTTTCCTCTGTGTTTTTTTTTTTTACTTATATTTACTATTATTTTCTACATAAATGTTATGTAATTTCAATCCTGTAGAGGTTCAATCTGTTCTTTCCATATGTCTGCTTATTGTTTGATACATAAATAAATGTGTAGATATTACGACAAAAAGACACTTCATATTTAATGGCAATAGATGATTTGTTAATATTATTTAATAGATTACACCTTTAATAAAACGTTTGTAATGGGTTTGTAGGAGGTGTTTTCATGCATTTGGTTTGTATTTGAGATTTGGTCAGAGTCCAAATCCTAATTTAACAGCTTGAATAAAGTCATATTGGAAAAAATAGCCCTTTTAAATCCATTTTTCAATAGGCTACTCTACCATACTCTACACCCTTTATTTTACTGTCTATGCTCTAACCTCATTGCGAAATATTAAAGGCATAGGCAATTGCTCCGTCCCAATTCGCATACTATCCGTCCTAAATAGTATTCGAAAATAAAATTAGTACGTCCCAAATCGTATGTTGAAATGAGTGTTTCAAAGAGACCCGGATGGTCTACTATTTCCGGTCAGAATCCGAAGTGTAGATCGATGCACAATCTAACGGCTGATATAGACCTTATTCAGAGCAGCGCCATGACAGGTATGAAAGTGAGGCTGTAAGGGATAGACTTACCGTGTTTCCAATGTCATCCGCTGTAAAAAGCTGAATAAAGCAGCTAGATTACTTGCAATTTTCCACTATCCCTATCCCTCACAGCCTCACTTTCATTCTCATTAAAAATCAAAGATGGCACTGCCCTGAATAAGGCGTATAGATACAGTCGGTTGGTCTGGGAACGCCCCGGGAACGCCCCGTCACGTGGTGTGAATTTAGCCCGTGGGGGAAAACATTGCCTTGGCGCTCATTGAAATACATGGGACAATCATGCCGAAGAGTTGCTGTGTCGTTTTCTGTACCACCAATAAACTAACAAATTATAAATTGAAGTTCTACAGCCTTTCTTACATACATACAGAACCGGATAGGAGGACAAAATGGCAAAATTAATCATATCTTATTAGATTACTGTGTGAGTAGATCCCTGTGTGATATAGAAGTAGATGTTTTACTCGTATTAGACAGTGGGCCAGATTTGTCTGACGTTTATCCCTTACGAAAAAGAAAATCGTAGTAATCCTATGGCTATTAGTATTCTATAGTAGTGTATAATACTTCTGTGATGTTCTTTAATACCTCTATACTTCTAGCCTATGTCCCAAAATACTATACTATTCCTATAGGATTAATGTTACTATAATATTTTGTCCTAAAATACTACAAGATTCCTTTAGTTGTTTTTCATAAGGGATGTCTCAGTCACATTAGCGTTATCAGGTGAAGGTTATCAGACTGCAGTCTGTGAGAATTCGGATAACTGTCAGCAAAGTCCCTCTGCAACTTCGTAGCTACTACTACTGATCACCGTTTTACAAAAGGAATAATAGTTTGGAGTGAAGCATACGTACAATTGGTAAGTGACATGGTTTTATGGACTTATAGTAACTTATACACAAGTTGATTGAGTAATAGGCTTGTGTTGCAGCTTCCGCGATCCCAGATAGCAAACTGACATTGAATCATCGTGGAAACAACGTCTCTCTTGACATTGAAACAACGTTGATTTTGCTCATCGAATTAACGTTGAACCAACGTCAGATGCGGCATTCTTCAAAGCTAAATGAAAATCGAAAATTGGTTTGCTTTCATAACGTTGAAACAACGCGATGATTTCAAGTTGATTATCCGTTAGTTTTGAAAGAATGACGCGTCTGACGTTGGTTCAACGTTAATTCGATGAGCAAAACAATGTCAGATCAACGTTGTTTCGATGTCATATTTCCACGTTGATTCAATGTCAGTTTGCTATCTGGGGAGGAAAGGGGGTGCTAGGCAACGTCTGTCGTCCGATTCGGATCTCCGAGACGGATGAATAATAGAACGCACCATTAGATCATAGACATATACACTAGACCTCACCTGGTGGTTCTAAGCATGCGTCAAAACCGCCGCCATCTTGGAACAGGGGTCTTGTCATAGGAAGTAGCTAGGTAAGGCTGCTATCTCTGCCTTTACTTCAAATTCATTGATGGTGGCAGACTTTTGTGCAGCGTATGAAGTTCACGGATGAAATCTGAACTAGGAAGAATGTTTTAAAAAAATAATAATAATAAATAATTTTTTTTTTCTTTCTGGAATCAATGATAAATACCTGTCTGACCGTAGGAACAAACCAAAAAACAAGAAAAATCGCATTCATGATGATTTATGGTGATTTTATTTGCGTTAGACCTGTCTACTACATTGACGCTGATGCATTAAAGTGGAGGGGCTCCCCTGTTTCAAGATGGCGGCTCTATTGACGCATTCGTTCTAATGAACTGCCGTATCCAAGGTGAGGTCTAGTGTATCCACCTTATTTTTAACGGAAATACGGACGCAGCCATTTTGACGGTGTTTTGTGCGAGACTTCCGGTCTGGCACTTCCGGTAACTGTCTAGCTAACTCACTTCACTGAAGCGGTTGATCAAACAAGTCTCCATTAACTAACTACTCATAGTTATGGCTTCGGGGAAAACCGGGACAGTTAGAGGTTGTCATAATAACTGGTACAAAAGAAAAATTTACTTGGAGCAGGAGTGTTTCGATCATCGATCGCGTACGAGAGCTGAATGTTGGTGCGAGGCGCTCAACGAGCTTCACCCCCGCACAAGAATGAGGAATCCCTTCGCCTGTGGTTAAAAGCTTTAAATTTGAAGAAACCACCGACGCGACCTTATGTTTGTTCTTTTCATTTCGTGGACACAAAGACCCACAGAAGACCACCCGATACCAGAAAAGTGGCTGGGCTGAACTATAAGTCCCAATAAAAACACAAAGGAGACGTGTCCAGAGGTTAGCAGACACAGGTAATGTTAACTCTTGTTAGTTCTCAGTTTGTCCCTCTTGACAGTTAATATCTTTCACATGAAGCCAACTGTCTTTTAAGTTTGTTCTCTCTGTATATTTATCCATTGTGCATCAATTAAAAGAAGGACAAAAATGAGGACTAATAGAGGACAAAAATGTCCGTGTCAAAAAAACTGTCATTTAATTATAAGCTTGGGAGCACAGACTTAAGTTTGGTATCATTTTAGACCCGTGGGAGATTATTGCTGAAGTAAAAATTTAGTTAGATAGGTTTAAGTTAATAAATTATTTATGAACATTACTTTATATAAAATCTATATTTTATGAAAGAAGTTGAACTCTTAAACCGCTAGAAAATCAAAGCCATAAATCTCAAAAAATTAACTTTAGGTAAGATTTTGGTTAGAGACAGTAACAGATGTTCTCCAGTGGGTGCCAGCAAAATTCCTGTAGTGCACACAGTGATTGGATTTGTTATTTTTTTGTAGTTGAATTTCTCTCTCTCAATATTACAAACACACACAAGCATATATATATATATATATATATATATATATATTGTAACACACATACTAACCACACTCTGATATCCATACCGAAAACACCCACACAAATATTGTTCCAAAATTGGCTGTATATATATATATATATATATAATGAAATGTGTTGAATCTGTGCCAAATTCTATGTAAACTGCAATTGAAAAGAACAAACATGTCCATAAGGATGCACAAGGGTTAATGATATAATTGTATTTTTTTCATCCCTGCTAGCCAGGGCATTTGTAATAATTGGAAGCAATATATGCAATATGATTATTTGAATGAGCACTAATACAGGTGTTGCTCTATAAGCTTGCTGTTAAGGTAGTTGTAAGTATTCTAGGTATGTTTTACGTTGTTTGCTAAACTGGGCTAATGTGGTCTTATGTTTGGCAGATGACCGCCACTGTGATGAGGAGGCTGACCAGACCATTCCACAGTCAGAGGCAACTCTGCATAAAGATGCTGACACTCAGTGGGAGGTTCAGGCACTGATGGATCACACCTACACACCTAGGAGGAAAGATGAAGGATGTATGCGACAGAGAAACACAATGTGGTGGAGAAGTTGCCCATGCCCTCCTGAAGATCGACACTAGCTGTGTGTTGTACACAGGCCTTTCTCTCGGTGCCTTTTTTTGATCATGTTAAATACCTGGAACAGTTCTGTAAAGCAAACTTTAAGATGCATGAAATGAATCAAATATTGATGACCATGATGAAACTCAAATTTCCATAATATCTGTAAATAATTATTTGACAGCCTGCAGTGCCTTGATTGTACTATCATTTTCACATTTGATTTGTCTTTAACATTCTATTTTTCAGGTATCTCTATTCTGCACTGCTGATTTACCAGTAAATTGTAAAATGGAATTATAATACACAATAATGTGTTTTGGATCTCAGGTTTTATACTAAATAGTTTGAGTTTGAAACCTTGATGTTTTCAATTTAGTAATGACTTTTCACGTATTGTATAATATCAACTTATTTTTAGACTATTTAATTGTTTACAGATACAAAAACATGATATTTTAACTTGTCCAACTGAAATGTGTATTATTAAAATTTTCTATTTTTATTAATTTGAATTGCTAATGTAATTTGTTGTATTTAGTCATTTTGATCAAGTGGATGTTGTCCTAACCACATGTAAATAACTAAAAAAAGAAGACAAGGAGGCAAGAAGTTACAGTATTTCACTAATGGAATTTATTAACTCGTGACATTTGTTTACATTAATGTATTTACAATTATTCACTTTTAAAATGGTAAAACAACACTAAATTTAAACATTTCATGAATTATGAATTAGAATTGGTATACGTACCTACACAGAAAGGAGGTGGTTCACAAAAATGTGGTGTGCTGATAGAATATGCCTCTACCCAAACTTGAACCAACTTACCTTACCCAAGCAGCATCAATGAACAAGAGATTAGAATTTTACTACTTAGCTGGAAAAGGTGCACAATCTGTTAATTAAAAAAAAAATTAGTCATATACTATATTTTATTTCCCAAATGCTTTAGAAGCCAAAGTTTCCATCCACTCTTCTACCTGATACCCAAACAGTACAAATAAAAAAGAAAAGTTTTATTTCTATCTTATTTGTACTGTTTGGGTATCAGATGCTTCAATGTAAATCTAGCTTAAAATGTAATGTTGTCAACTTTCATCAAGAGCTATGTGAGTACACATCAGATTGGTACAGTGTGCCAAACTTCAAGCCTACACAGTAGGCATCAGTTAACATTTAGATATCAAATTGCAATGTTAAATCCCAAAATTTAGCACTGCTATGTAAAATATGACTAGCAATCCAATCACAACAAGGCAACAACTAGAGTGTTATGGCACTGAACTATATACTCTACATAAAACAGACAACTGAACAGACAAATCATTGCATTGGCATACCTTCCATTAGATCGCCGCTGCGTGACTGCAGGACTTCCCCTGACCCGCGACACAGGGGGTCCATGCAGAGTGAACGTCAAACTTGCTTTGGCTTGGTTGGACATCAGCCTTCATGAATACCAGGTCATCGATGTTGTTATCCAACTTTAACACTGTGGAGGTACTTTTGTAGTTGCGCATTGTAGGCCCATCCGCACCAAGTGACAACACAAAATAATTAAATGTCCTCGTACGTTAAAGATGCCAATTCTTCATGTCATCCTCCCACTCGTGAATAGTTTGAGGGTGTGGCACTGACCTGCCATTTCGATTGTTTAGTGATTTTTGGAAATGTTCCCACGACATAGTTCACCAACTTAGTTCAGCTAACGTTTGCCCAGGAAAGCGAAGAAACGGAAGTGCCGCACAAAAACCGGAAGTTGGACCTATAGTTACTTCCGCGTTCGAAAATAAGGTGGATATGTCTATGCCATTAGATAAAGAGCTTTGAGTGATTAATTATATCACCTGACGAATGATCTAACCTGACGGAAATTTATTCAATGTTGTCCACATCTGCAGCATCATTGCGAACTTTTGTAAAGATACTTTTAGCCATTACTTTTTAAATGCATTATTATATTCAAATTGCAAACACGAGGAGAGTCTCCCCAGATAGCCACTGGACGCTGTAACGGAACAGGGCCGCAATCGCAAAACGATAAAGCCGGGTCTGGCCCGCTTCCGCCTCACGGACTCGTTCCTGAGTCCAAACGCACATCGGGCCGAAGCCGTTTCTGGTCTGTTTTTAGGGGTTGTTGCGGATATGTGCCAGCGCCGATCCAGCACCGCCTGATCATCCCGTTACAGATGCGTAACGGGTGCGTGAAGCGATTCCGCCTACCGGAGCTGTGCCGGATGTGTTACGATTCTGCTTAAATCACCACTGGATTGTCATTTTGCCTTATTTTCGGCATTGAGTAACCTATATGCTATACATAGTCCTACATTTTCACAGTCTGTGGAATGTCCAGAAATTTTTTTTTCACTAAGGCTATGGCTATAATAAAAAGCTTAACTTGACTTGATAAAGGCTAGTTGGAGAAATGCAGGCTTAGGCTATGGCTGAACTAAATCGTTTTAATGATTAAAACGCATACTAAAACAAAGTGAACACAGTTAAGAAACACAGAATTAATGACCACGAATTCATAGATTTAATTATAAAAATGAACAACAATGAACAAAGTCAACAATAAACAAAGAACACAGTCAACAACAAACATATAGCCTAATTAACGGGTAAAAAACGCACAGGCAATTAACAAAAAAAAAAAAAAAAAAAAAACATGCACTTAAACAAAATCAATGTGTGGGTGCAGTGGCAGCTGTAATTGCTGCTCTTGCTGCTGACGCGCCAGTCTCTCCTGGCGCCCTCCGCTCCTGTCCGCCGAAAGTGCAAACCACCGAATTGCGTGCCTCCAGATTTCTGCTTCTGTTGCAGTTGTTGTCAGTGCACATTTGCGCACTGCACCTGGAAAACAGCATTACTGATTAGCAGGGTTGTGCTTGTGCAGTGTTGGGAGTAACGCGCTACAAAAGTAATACATTATAGTAACATTACTTTTTGCTGTAACGCAGTAGTGTAAGGCATTACTAATCGATTTTCAGTAATATTTTACTCGTTAAAGGTGCCCTATAATGTGAAATTGAATTTATGTTGGCATAGTTAAATAACAAGAGTTCAGTACATGGACATACAGTGAGTCTGAAACATCATTATTTTCTCCTTCTTACTTCGTTTTTGTAAAAGACCCCTGAAAAACAGGCGAATCTCCACATAATACTGACTCTGACGTAAAAGTCAGGATCATTAATATGTATGACCCAAAATATTTGCATATGCCAGCCCATGTTCAGTGACAGACGAGACGGAGCTGCGCAGTCGAAGCATGGTCGTTGATCAATGTTCGGATGTACACGTGAACACAAAAGTAGGCTATTTTTAGTTCCTTCGTCCGACCGAGCCTCTGAAGAAACAATGGATTAATTTTATTTTCTCTGGAAATTTTCAAACATTTCACCGACGGCTTTCCTCAACTTGCCAAGAGCTGGCCGGATCGAGCTGATGTGTTGTTCAAGTTCAGACCATAGACGGTTCAGACAGGTAATATTTCACTTTAAAATCGTTCAATACTGTTTTTGTATCAGTAAGTCAGGCAGTGATTAAAAATCAACTTCACATTGTTTCTTTTAGTAGGATGAAAAACAAATCTTATTTAAATTGTGAATTATAAACAGAAAGAAAGCGATCAAAGAACAATCACAGCGCGAGTTTATCTGGACACTTGCCAAACTCGTTAGGAATTCAATGACGCACGTTACACTGCACAACGAAACTCTAACGTTCGTGTCTGCTGCATTAGAGATTAGAGAGACTGCATTGCAATGATAAGATCTTCACCACATTCACGAGATCAACATATGTGCATTAGGCTATTCGTTCTGTTTTCTTTCCGTAGTAAACAGTTAGGTTTAGGTGGCATTTTTCATGTTTTCATCGCAATCATGTTTTTGATGCGGTGGCGACGCGTTCATATAACATAATTAAAGCACCTAAAAGCTGATGAAAAAGCAATGATTATGAATATGTCAAATATAGCAAGGAGACATTTTAATTGTTTATTAATAAAGACTTGACTGACTTACGATCTTCGCAGTAGGCTGAATGCGCCAGAGAGATGCACAGAGCAGAGCACTCTGTTTTCTTTCGTTTTGAATTGTTCTGTGTACAGTTAGACATTTCAATATAGATATATTTTTTTTCAGGTCTGTGAATAAGCTAAAGACTACTTATACACCTGGAGTTTCGATTCACGAGGCGCTCCAGTTCACAAGCCTGCGCCTCCTATCCGTGTTGTAATAGTCTTTGTCTGCTATATTTACTTCTTATTTATTAAATTCAGGCAATTGGTGTATTAAACATTGGTTAAATTTAATAGACAATTAATAAAAAACGAAATTCCCTTAAAGAAAAGCTTTGTGTCTTCTGTTTGAGGTCTGTGAAAGTTTTATAGGAGTCTTTTAGTGCCGCTTCAGAGCGCTCGCGTCCGTATAACAGAGAACTCACGTCTGTAACATTATTTTTTCCCTCATAAATGCGAACAGGAATAATAAAATAAAAATGAATATTTTATGTTGTGGAGAGCTAACCCTTCTTCGTCGAATTTGCGCAGTGTAATTCACTGAATTACAAAATATGTATTGCCTTTAACGTTTTTGCGTGTCTATTTCCCTAACATATAAAACGCACGTGTTGACTGGTATTTTCTTATGTCTGGACTCCTTTAAAGGGATAGTTCACCCAAAAATGAAAATTCTGTCAGTATTTACTCACCCTCATGCGTTGTTCCAAACCTCTATGTGTTTATTTGTTCTGCTGAACACAAAGGAAGATATTTGGAAGAATGTTTTAATCAAACAGATCTCAATCCCCATTGACTACCATAGTAGGAAAAAATACACACTATGGTAGTCAATGGGGATTGAGATCTGTTTGATTAAAACATTCTTCCAAATATCTTTCTCTGTGTTCAGCAGAACAAATAAACACATAGAGGTTTAGAACAACATGAGGGTGAGTAAATACTGACAGAATTTTCATTTTTGGGTGAACTAACCCTTTAAAGGAGTAGCCTATTGATAAACAGACGTTTCTATATTGGTATATTAAATGCATTTTCTGAGAATTAAAATTTCAAGTTTGACTGCAAATGTCATGTCATTTATCATTTCTGTAAATCATTCATCCTCAACTAGTTTTGTGGTGTAGGTCTGTATTTTATAATGTTAACTTCAAATAATACTAGCCTAATTTAAAGATAAGGTAGCATTGGATCTGGAAGGATAACGCTGCAGTTGGGAGGGGTACGTCGCGATTCTGCAGGTTCGTGGATCTGAGTGTGGCGATTTTGGTTTCATATCGCATATCGTTACAGCCCCAACGTTAAGTTCTACTTCTGATAGTTATTTTGGTGAAAGTAACACAAACGTTATACAGGAGTAATTTAACGCATTACAATTCTGAGACAGTAATATTGTAAGGTATGAATCACTTTTAAATAACAGTAACAAGTAATATATAATATAATGTATTACAGTTTGGAAGTAACTTGCACAACACTGGTTACTTCCAAACTGTTATACATTATTTATTACTTGTTACTGTTATTTAAAAGTAGGCTAATCCAGTCCAATGCTACCACATATTTAAATTACTATTAGTAGCCTATTATTTGAAGTTAACATTATAAAATACGTAGACCCACACCACAAAACTAGTTGAGGATAAATTATTTAAAATTTTAGGAATTCCAGCATTATGGACATGACATTTGCAGTCAAAACTTGAAAAATACATTCTCAGAAAATGCATTGAAACGTCTGTTTTTCCATAGGCTCCTCCCTGAAAGGAAATTAGAAAAAATATCAGTCTGCACATGCATTTTATATTTAATATTAGGGAAATAGACATTCATGCGTGACAAAAAGAATCTTTAACTTTTAGGAAGCAACGATTTTTGTAGTTGTAATTCTGTGAATTACACTAAGCAAATCAGATGAAGAAGGGTTGGCTCTGCACAGAATATAAAATATTCATTTTATTTTATTTTTTGCGTTCACATTTGAGGAAAAAGCAATGTTACAGAAGTGACAAGACTCCTTTAAAACTTCCAGAGACCTCACACAGAAGACACAAAGCCTTTCTTTAAAGGGAATTTCGTTTTTAATTAATTGTATCTTAAATTTAATCAATGTTTAATACACCAATTGTCTGGATTGAATAAAAAGAAGTAAAATAGCTGACAATTATAGATAATAACGTCCCGGAGGTGCAGGCTTGTGAACTGGAGCGCGTCTCAAACCGAAACTCAGCGTAAGGTAGCATATTCACGGACCTGAACAATATATCTATATTGAAATATCTACTTTTAAACAGATCAATTCAAAACGAAAGAAAACAGAGTGCTTTCTGCTTATGAAATTAAATGTGCATTTCTCTCTGCTGCATTCACTACTGCAAAGATCGCGAGTCAGCATCAGCATCGTCAACTTCATCTTGACTTTATTAATAAACAATTAAAATGTCTCCTTGCTATATTTTACATATTTGAGTAATCTGTAAGACTTCTGAGTGAATAAATATAAATTCACTTAGGACATTTGAAACAATAGCCTATACTTACGGCTGAGGAGGGTCCGTGATGCCATCCTGTGGAAGGCCCTCTTCTTGTTCACACCCTTCCAATTAATCGTGCGAGACAGGGGGCAGGAAAACATGTATGAAAGAATATTCCATGTCACCCTCTTCAAATCTACACCCCCGACAGCAGACAGGGTATTCACCTAGGGGCATGAAGATAGTTGGATCACCTTTTAAACAGGTAAGCCACTTTTTTGAAAGTTTTTTTTTCTTTAGAATTAAGACATGTGGGTAATTGGATGATGGTTTTATCCATAACATTCAAATTACATCATCATAAAGAGCTTAGTCTATTGTAGCACTAAATACTACTTTAGATTAATTAGATTTAGTACAAGATGATACAAGTGTCTTGAGAATACAATGAGAGCATATTGGGGGAATATGCTTACAAGGGCATGTTTCTGCCTATCGTTGGCAGGGTCCGCCAGCCAGGTCTCAAAGCGGTCCAGCTCTGCATCTGATTCCAGGGGGAAATGAAATTCCCCGGACCACTCAAAGGCTGCTGGTTGGAGGCCGTTATTGACCTTGGCCATTAGCAGGTTCACGGTGGTGGCGAGTTGGGCAACCTGCTGCTTTAGGTTTTCCAAAAGTAATAGGCCATGTAGCTGAGCCGCTGAAACATTGTGAAAGTTGAAAAAAATGTGTTAATCTGGAGAAAAGACTCAGGTTATTTAAACATGAAAGGGTTAGTTCACCCAAAAATGAAAATTCTATTATCGTTTACTCACCCTCATGTTGTTCCAAACCTCTATGTGTTTATTTGTTCTGCTGAACACAGAGGAAGATATTTGGAAGAATGTTTTAATCAAACAGATCTCAATCCCTATTGACTACCATATGTATTTTTTCCTACTATGGTAGTCAATGGGGAATGAGATCTGTTTGATTAAAACATTCTTCCAAATATCTTCCTCTGTGTTCAGCAGAACAAATAAACACATAGAGGTTTGGAACAACATGAGGGTGAGCTAACAATGATAGAATTTTCATTTTTGGGTGAACTATCCCTTTAAGGAAATAATACACACAATGATGGTCAATAAATCAACCCACAGCTGTACTATACTTATATATATACAGTACAGACCAAAAGTTTGGACACACCTTCAATGCGTTTCCTTTATTTTCATGGCTATTTACATTGTAGATTCTTATTAGCTACTATATATATATATATATATATATATATATATATATAGATGTTGTAAACATTGTTAACATTCCTTTTTTTATTTCTTACGTGTGCAAGGAATTGGCCCTGTTTCATGGCCAACTCTGAAAGTTGGCTTGAAGAGGAGGTGACCTTCAGGCTCTCCACCACCGCTGGCTAATTGAGGAAAGGTATGTAAATGTTAAAATCAGAAAACAAGAAAAAAAAAGTATGGATATTTATTGTACACATGTACTAAATTTGTATGAAAAAGTCACCATGTGAATAGGGGAAGCCCATATTAATGTCAAACACTGGACTCAAGTGTTGAGGTGGTGGTGGTGTTGACTGGTGCGCTGAGTGTTGAGGTGGTGGTGGTGTTGACTGGTGCGCTGAGCTATTGATTACTAGATGAACATTGAGGGAAAATGATAACAAGAGAGGCAGATTGTCAGACAAGGACAGAAATTAACAGGACAGAACATCACCTTTGTACTTTCATTTGTATTGTAATTTTGCTACAGAGCACGATTCCTACCATTGAAGGGGTCTGACTCCCTCCTCACATTCCAGCTTATGTCTGTAAAGGTTTCCTGTCCTGTGTTGTCCAGAGACTCCTGACCCATGTCCACTGCGATGTCCACTTTTGATAAATGAAAACCGTGAATCAACATATTGCAGTGGTACAAATCACAGGACTGTACATTGTTGCAGTTGGCAATCAAAACTTACAGAGGGGGGCTGGAGGGAGACTAGGAAGGGTAGCGCTAATAGCGAGTGGTTGAGGCCGAGGCCGAGGCCGAGGCCGAGAATCTGGTCTTCTTTTTGGAGTCTTCTCAGTTTCAGAGTCAGTACTGCCGTTTTCAAATCCTGGGTAACTGGTGAAGACAGAGGTCAAATTGTAATGACAAGGCAATAGCGTCATTTACTGGGCAGGCATGAACAAAGGCTTTTTTTTGTACAAACCCATCCCCAGCCATAGCTTTTGCAGTAATACAACAATTATCTATAATGTACATACTGTGTCACTTTTCTTCTCCTTTTTGTCATTGAGCTCTCATCCTCTGACTGGAGGACTGTCGTTCCATTTCTGTTGTAGTCCTTCAGCTTTTGCCTTGCCTTACTGAAGTCATCTACTATTATGAAAAAAAATAAAAATTAAGAAAGACAGATATGGAAATAATTAGGGATAAATTAAGTAAGGCATAACTGTTGTTCTAACATGTAAAGACATAGAATTACCCTGTTTGTTTGTTTATTTACCTTTTTCAAAGAGTGTTCTTATTTTGAAGATTTTCCAGCCAGGGCCTGGCATTTCATGCCTCTTTATGGCCTTTTGGGTTTTTTCCTCAGAAATGAATGTTGGCCAAAAACATTCATCACCTTTAACCCATGACCTTGGCACAACTTCTGTAATGTCCTCGTCGAGGAAAATTACTCCACAAAATGTCTTTTAGAAATCATTGTGTAAAAAAAAAAAGATGATTAAAAAAATACATAACTGAACTGAACTATGATTTCCAAAGAAAAAGTCTCTAGTCCTTCATATGAAACAATGGTATGACCACCATTGCCTCATTGAAAGGGACAGCTATGCATTTTTGTGTGAAAGATGACAGTTTGGAGAATTTTATCTCATGGCCTAGGTCAGCTGGTATCACAATGTTTAAAATGTCTGAATTAAAAGGATAGGTAAAAAATGTTTCAACCATCCCGTACTGTCTGTAGGCAATTGTGATATCACTGTGACAGTCAATTATATTAATAATTTGACACACATTTTTGCCCATCAGAAATGTGTTGTTTCGACATGTTGTGGTCATGGTGAACCTCTCTGATATCAGTTCATCATACTGGTGACAGATCAAGTTTGGTACTGGTATAGGGCCTCGGGCATGTTCTTTGCACAATTTGATGGGCTGGTCACTTGTAACACCACCATTTGATCCCTCGGACAGGCGTCTGATTATTTGGGCCAGGGGATTTGAGGGTTTGCGTACAAAACCCTTGAGTTTTTGCAAATAATTTTCATATGGAAAGGATGATATAACATCCAGATTGCCAAAATGTTTTGCATCCTGTGCAAGATGGGTCAACCCATGCACATTGTACACTAACTGATCATTTCCATACAGGCGGGCAAAATGTTCCACAAAAGCATGAAGGAGGCTGTTGGCATATTCGTTGTACTTTCTGGCAAAGAAAGGGGAGACCAGCATTGCCATGGCTGTCGACAGCAGCAGGAAGTTTGCATATAGATCAGGTCTTAACACCTCGCGCAACACCACCGGCCCTGTGTATAAGAGAAACTGACGGAACTCCGTCGCCTTCCACCTATCCACTTCGTTCAGTGCTCTTGGCCTTCTAGCAAATTCCGAAGGAATGTGGGGTCTTAAGCTTAGAAGATTTCTGGATATTCTCTCCACGTCTCTCCCTGGTACACGGACAGTCAGAGGACCTTTCATCCACAGAAAGATAAGGCGCCTTACCACCCCCAAGCACACCAGGTGCATGTAGTCCAGTGGGACTTGGGACACCAAACCAAAATGTACATTTGTGAAGGCATGAGGACCATGGTGATGTTCCTCATCCTCCTGCCTGGCAAATGCCTCATCAGACCGTGTTTGGCTATTCATGAGGGGGTATGTCATGCGGTGGTTGAGGTACACCCCACTCTGAATACACTTGTCACAGCCATAGTAACCGTTAAAAGCCTTTGTGACTTTCACAAAGGATTTTGCCGGTGCGTCACAGATCATTGAATGAACTTTTAAAGTGAGCCTTTTCCCCTCAAATGTAAACCCCTCCTGTAATTGTGAGAGTTCATTTGCCAAATCTGTGAGATACATTTTAGATGAATCAGGTTTCTTTATACCTGAGTACATCCCAATGACTACAGGTTCTTTCATGGGTACTCCAACCAATCTACCTAAAATGGGCCACAACTGAAGACCTGAACTTTTAAAAAGTGGCAGGCCATCCACTGACATTTGAAGATATAAACAACATCCATCGACAAGCTTGTCTTTCCACTGGGAAAGGGTATGTTTTAACGCCTCAATAATGCCAATGTAGTGGTAAAGGCCACCGCAGAGCTCCCTAACAGAATAATCTCTTCTTGTTTTAAGAAGAGTTCGTGCATCTTTTGGCAAGTCACAGTGGTGGATCTTTAATATTGCCAAGAGAGCCGAAAGTGCGATATGGGAAATGCAATATGTTAATGCCCAGTTGGAAAGGCGATTTATGAGTTTTTCTGGTTCCTCCCAGTCAGATACTTCTTCTACATCACTATCATCTTGATAATAAGATCTATCCTCTGGGTCAGACACAACAGCTGCCATTGGATCTAATCCAAGATTTTCTTCCATGATTTCATTTTCAAGTTCTGCAACATCATCTGTTGGAGACCCAATATCTCTGGGAGGAAGTGTGGCTGCAAGTGTTTCCTGGCCGATATCAATTAACCTTCTATTAAGGTCTACCCTGGCTCTTCTCCTCAATGCTGAACTGGAAACAGGTGTCTTGCGTCTATTCATTTTTTACATTTAGGTAGCCTAACGATCTCGAATGGAAATTGAATAAAAAAAAAAAAAAAAAAAAAAAAAAAAAAATATATATATATATATATATATATATAAAGTATGGAGTTTGAAATTGAAATGAAAATCTGAGTATTATACCTTCGTCTCAACAGTTTGCATCATGTTTTCAGCATCTGGAAAAAGAAATGGAAAGTATGTTGTAAGTTGTTGTCTTGCTTAATTTTATTTATTATGTGACTGGAAAAGTTGTCTGGTTTATCAAAAATAAAGATTTGGTAACAAGTATAACATTTATTTGTCTGTCTGTCTATCTATCTATCTATCTACGGCTGACTCAGGAGACTCACGTTTGTTTACAAGAAAATGAAAGTAAAATACCAATAACAAAATTGTAATTGTAAGGTTTAATTGTAATTGGGGAAGGCTAAATGAGAAAAATAGTGGTAATGGTCTTTGTTCAGTGTAAGGTTGGAGGCATGTACATTCAGATGTATTTCTAAATTATGTAGGCTAAAAGGCTCAAAAGGCTTTAATGTATGTTTGATTTCAGTAACATACTTTGGCCATGAATAAAAAAAAAATCATAATCACAATTAATTTATTTTTAGTCCAGGCAAAGTAGCATTTTACGACAGACTAACATCCAGCACAACATACTAAAATTCCTAAGAAATCCTAGTTCAGGAAATATGTTAATTTATCATCAATCCAATGTGTGCCAATAAGGCCAGGCGACAATACACATTTTTTTTCCTTTACTCCTATCAAAATTAACTTTATGAAAGTACCCATGAAAAGTATTTTATTTGTTTATTTTAATTTTTTTTTATTACAAGTGTCTTTGAAAATTAATTGTAATATGCAAATATGGGGTGTGTTGTTACTGGCTGGCACACATTTCGGATTGATGACAAATTAACATATTTGCTCAACTAGGATTTCTTAGGACTTTTAGTAGGCTATGTTGTTCTGGACACAAGGGCGTAGGAACGTCTTTGACATTGGGGGGGACATACTGGCCACTATGAATCAACGTCTATCCCACCACCATAATAGTAACATAGTTTGGTGATGTGGTACATGCAGTGGCGGTCTGTTTTGGGGCCCCCTCCCACTACGTGAAGTCACCTGTGCTTGACGATTATTGACACAAATGTCATGCAATAATGATACATTATAAATGAATACAGTGTTAATACAAAATAAATACTTCATTAAAAAATAGATGCCTACTTAAATAAAAAAGTTTTAACTTTTACTTAACTCTTTTACTAACTCTTTGAAACTTCTTAAAACAAACCGTGTCAAAATATATAAAAATAAATTATTTGCTAAAATAATGACAAAGCTCAGAAATCAGAAACAAAATAAGAGCACGGGTTCAATAATGACAATTATTGTTTAAAATATTATTATTTCTCAACTTTCTCAATACAGTGTAACTGTCCTCAAAATCTTTTTTATTATTATTATTGTAACAGACTTTTTTGGGTTGTAAATGACATAATCCAACAAAGTCTGTTAACACCGGTAATGATGTACTAGCACTCGTTGTATGTGTGTATGCAATGTATTTTTCCCCTCGAGGCTTGCCGTAGATGGGTCATGCGCACTTGGTATGGTCGCGGGATTTTGGAGATCTGATGTGTGGTATAATAATAAAGTGAAGAAGAGTTCAAACTGCTGTGTTTATTATTTATTCAAACTGCAAACAAAGGTATGTGATATTATAAGTAACATGGAGCTAATAACAAAAATAACATTGTCAGATTAGATAAATCATGTAGGTTCCAGTTTAAAGCTGGTGCGTTTCTAGTGTAACGTTAACTTCTCTCTACCAATCAGATGCTCCGGTGATGAGTGAAATATATGAAGCGAATGGTGATTATTCAAACATGAAATGGGAAGGTTTAATGGTTTAACCTAACTATGACTCTGGGTTTGACTTGCTGGCAAAACTGTATATCTTCTTTGTCGCGCTTTAAAAATAAAAGTTCCAAATGTACAGTTTTTGTTCCTGTGGTAGGTTAGGTATGGATTTTTTTGGGTGGGACACATGCCGCATTTTTCCATATTGAGGGGGACACGTCTCCCCCCCCCCCGGTTCCTACGCCAGTGTCTGACACCTCATAGAAATTATCTATGCAGAAAAAAAATTTGGATCCAAAATGAGTTAATTAGTTTGCCTGGACTATGTGTTTTATTCTCCATTTTTACAAAAAAGCACGGACTGCTGGGAAATCTGACGAATCATTTTATTTCTCATCGTGACGTATTCTGATCTACGTCCTCGAATGTTATTGCTAGGTTTGTCTTTCTGAGAGGTGGCACCGTTAATGCACCGTTAAGTTTGCCAACTGCCATTAAAACACAAAAATAAGTTTTTTCTGAGAGTGTCTAACTTAATTGTTAACAGCCAAGCAACTGCAATGTTCAGCAATCCAAATAGTGGTGCTCAAAAATGAAAAAGATAAGAAGCTGCAGGTTGTGGCATCAGTGATTGACACTGCTATGATGGCTAGCTGGGAGCATACAAATCAAGCGAGTGTTTAAATGGTCGGTCAAGGTGTAAAATTAATGGTGTCATTTTCACGAATGTGTGCCTGCAATTATCAGCGCTTTAACGGCATAGCGGCTAAAGCTAAGACCAAATGTCCGAGACCGAAAACCGGGGACTCCCAAAATTTTGGAAAAAACGGGGACATTTTTAGTTTGACTGTAAATCTGATTAAAATACATCTTCCAAAAAAAAACAAAAAAAACAGGGACAGGGACAGGTAACAGTTTTTCTGAATTTTCCCGGAGGCAACCAAAAATGGGGACTGACTGTCCCATAAACCGCGGGGACGTCTGGGCATCCTAACTAATTACCTTTTAAAATTCAGCACATTAACGCAAATATATGCCATTAAAAAGTTGGTTTGGTTATTCTAATCGGGTCTATTCTGTGCTACACCCTATTTGTATAGCGCAGTAGGGCTATAGCAGATGCGTCTTTAACACACTTTATGATTCGCAAATACTATAACAAGCCTGTAACTGCTATCTATAAAGCAAACAGCATTTCACTTGCACTTTTAAGTAATAGACAGTAAATTAGAATAAACACATACAAATAGATGTACATAATAAACACATAGAATAAACACATAAAAACTTACGTGTGGTAGCCTAGCAGGTCAGTTAAATCTGCGTTGAGCTTGGTTTGATGATGATATCTTTTTTTTTTTTTTTTGGGCGCTTCTGGCTGAAGTCCGTAGTACGGATGTGGACCGTATCTGCAAGACGACAGTCAAGCGAGACCCAACGTTCACTTGGCGCTGTCGTGAAAACGGACCTAAAACGGAGCTCAAACTGCTGCTGTGCTGTAACGGACCTTATAGCATCACAAAAATTTTGCTGTATAGTTTTTAAACACGAATAATATTGCTCAGCTTAATGACAATACATTTATCTTCATGCTCTAGATAGAAAAAAAATATGCAGACAACCATGTTGTTTTGAAAAATGTTTATTGCACGGAGTTCTTTCACACAGTTTGAGAAAAGTATTTCGGATGTGGTCCACATCAGGTAGTCTCTGTCAAAACAGTGTTGGCTCAAATTCGTTTTGCAGATATGGGCCAGAACAGTTTTTTAGCCCTTTTTAAAATGCAGTCGGCTCAGATATGTATCACAGATTCGGGCCACACCAGTGTGAAAACAGTATCGGCTCAGATTCATATTGCAGTTCTGGACCAAATCAGTGTCAGACACAGCTTGTCTTTCAGTTACATATCGGAAAAGTGATCTGGGCCAGATCTGTAAAATGGTATAAATACTGAACTGATGGCAGCTAGAATGTTTAAGCTGAAACTTATATCTGGTACGGATCTGGTTCACAATCAGAAAACGTCTCTAAGATAAAAACGGAGGCAAGGGGCTTAAAACGGAATCCGGGCCAAATGTAATTGCTATCTGGGTCCACATGAAAGACCCACGACTGGCAGATCAACGTGCTCTCCAAAACAGTAGGAAATCAAATTGGATAGAGTAGGATTTTAACTGTGACAAGATGATTGACAGTACAATTTACAGTGACAGGATGCACGCAGCCCACGACAG